AGTAGTGAGTAATATTATCCTTTTTTATGTATAAATATTTTTGTATTCTTATCTATGATTTATTCTTATTTGACTGGTTTGAAAGAATCCAGAAAAGCGAATTCCACTTAACCGTGTCTTGGATCATCCCTTTTTTGACCAAAAGTTACCTATTATTCGATTGCGTGATATTTTAAGCAATGACGAATCTTCAAGAGACCCTTTAGACTCTTACAAAAATGCCAAATCCAAACGTGGATTCTCTAAAAACACACAATTCAATACTGACCGACTTAAACCACTAAAACAGAAAACTAAGCATGCGTTTGTAGAAATCTTGCCAACGGGAACAGTATTCTTGGATTTTTATGACGATCGATATTTGATTACTATCACCAAGGATGGCGGAAAAGTTAGTTGAATGGTTTTATCATCTCATATTTTGTTTTTGGTTGGTTTTCTTTTTTACTAATTATATACTTGATAGATAGATATATTCGAGCGACCAGTTGGGAAAGAAACACCTGCAATATTAGTTAATCCAATAAAATCGTATACTTTTGATGAATTACCCATTAAGTATTTGAAAAAGTATCGCTATGCAGCGAAATTTATAGAATTAGTTAAAAGTAAAACTCCAAAGGTTTGCATGCTCACTTTCATAGCCGACTAAACATCTTTGCAATTGATTTTTAACTTGATTGATTTTATAGATAATATTTTACTCTCCACAAGCTAAATGTATTTTGATGGAAAATGGACCAATGGCTGATTTCGAAATGTGGTTTTCTAATCGGACAATGGTTCGCCATTCTGTAGCCAAGGAGTCTCTTGAAATTACGATTCCATCTTCGACACAAAAAGATAATTTTGTAAAACACAAATTCACTATAAACAATAATTTGGACCTAAAACTGCCGTTGGAGCTATTGTCTATTTTCAAACACATGCAAGATTGCCTAAAGCAATGTCTAGATATCGAAAGAAATGGTAGTTTAAATTCTAGTACAGTGTACCCCTTGATCCTGAGGAGTTCGAGATCTCAAGTAAAAAATAAAGAATTGGATACCAAGCTAAATAATCATCAGGAAAACCCTTTATGTCAGGCGAGATCAGCACCTACCCCCGAATTAACTACACCAGCGGTCATAACCCAACCACCAGTTCACGTTAATGGGTCTAAAAGTGATGAAGCTGCTACTCAATGCACTACAAATCGAAAACGTCCATCATCTTCAACATATTCTATGTCATTTAAATCAACTAATTCCTGCTTAGGTGGAATAAATCCTGTCGAAAATATGACATGCAAATATATTGAAGGTTTGGGTTGGTGTGTGAAGACATTGGATTCTCGATTTACTATGTTATTTGAGGATGGCGTGAAAGTAGTGTTGGAATCAAAGAACCAATGCTTAAAATATTCTGACGAATCTAAACACCATAATATTAATAAAGGAAAAGTCATAAGGTATTACATATCATCTTTCACATTATTGCAATACAAAGGCTCTTGATATATACATAATGTTAATTTCTGATATTATAGTTTTCCTATCGATCACAATCTTCCATCATATGCAAAAGAGCGATTGGCACATTTCCGAGAATTCGCCAAATTATTTAAAGATCCCTAATATTTGCGGAATCTTTTGATTCTGAATTAATTCGTACTTGCATGAAATTCATTTATAGCCTTATTCGGATCTATTTTGTAGATTCGTGTACATAGTTGAATTAAACCAGTTAAAATAAATTTATATCGTGGATGTTATATAATAAAAACATGCTAAATACTTTTTAGGTAAAGCATATAAATTAAAATTTAAAAAAAGAAAACTTTAAAATATTGTATGACCAAAGTTATAAATTTTGAATATTTCTGGATCTCCGGAATTTTGTTCACTAAACATTCAAATTAATCTCAAAATTGAATTTATAATGTTAAGCATAGTTTTTTCTTTTTTTTAGTCTCTTTCCCACCCTCACGGCCAGCCCGTATCATTCTGACAACAGTATAAAATGCTCTTTCAACATTTACGCATGTTTTTGCCGAACTTTCGATGAATTCACATCCAAGATGTCGAGCCATATTCATGCCTTCTTCCCGTGAAACTTCCCGTTCAGTAATCTTATCACATTTGTTGCCAACAAGCATAAGAGGGACCGAATCTGAATCTTTGACCCGATTTATTTGATCCCGAAATCGTTGTACACGTTCAAATGTAGATCGAGATGATATTGAATATACGAGAAGGAAACCTTCACCATCTCTGTAGTAATATGTAAAACATAAATTAAAGCAATGTAGATAAACTAAGAATTGTATGTAGTTCTCAAATCTTACCTAATCCATTGATCACGCAAAGCAGTATATTCCTCTATAGGTGCGAAAATAAAGATGATGAGAAATTGAAGTCACTTCTAATTAATATTGATTATTGCAACATTGAATTCTATAAAATCTCGGTTATCTTGAAAGATGATGAGCTAAATCCAGAAGCTCCTCCAACTTCACTTAAGATAAGCATCCTATGTCAATATTATTCAATTATTTACTCAATGTATTTTTTTCCTTGAAAAATCTCAATTAAATAAGATAACAATCTAAACAAGCATAAAAATCGATTTCGTCTAAGTACCCTTATTAATTATAATCTTAGGTAAATATTAATTGCACACCTTGCCCAGCCGTATCCAATACCTCCAAAACACATGGTTGATCGTCTATCACAACTTGTTTTCGATATGAATCTTCAATTGTGGGATCGTATGTCTATTATCGTAGAGTTAATATTCAATTATACTAATAAATTATAATATCAAGACATCTGGGAAAACTAACCTCTATTTTTATAAGCAGAATGTAGGAATATAGGTATTACGGAATAAATAGATTAATAATTAGAACATATAATATTATTTATAGTAACGATAAATACTCGTATAAACCTGATGTTCGTAGGAAAGTACTCACCGACAAAATGATTTAGACACAACTAGATTATTAAGTTTAAAAAGTCAAAGCGAGCAAAGTGAGAAAAAGAAAGAAGAATTTACAAAGTAAATAAAAAATACCAAATATGTATACTACTAACCTGAATCGTAAGTGCTGTCTGGTTGTTAAAAAAAAAAATTGAATAATGTAAGTCAGCACACCAAGTATTATATGAAAAAGTCTTAAAAATACCTTGCCTACACCACCATCCCCAAGTACAACAAGTTTATATAACATCATCTTAAGAAGCTTTTGGGCGAAGGGATAATGAAAGATGTAATATCTAGGGATGTTACGTTACATTCTATCTTACATGTAATCATCGTTTCATGTAAACCATATTTGGGGTATACTGCGATTTTTTTTGGTCATTTTGTACCAGGGGTTTAAAGCTAGTATGTTGTCGTTGGGCAGGGATACGGACTGTCCGTGCCCGGGTTTGCATCTATCTGCGCTAATTCCAGCTAGGTAGTTCGTGACGGACTCGGACATGTCTCATGTCCGCCGGTATCATCATTCGCGAAGTTGATCGGCCCGGCAAAACAAATCCGAAACATGATTACACAGCGACTCTCGATATAATGGGCAATTAGAGAAAATCCGCTATATCGCGAGTTTATTTATATTGAGCGAGATTCATTACGGCTGTTTTGAACCTTTATCCGTTATATCGAGGTCTTAATTAGTCTCCGCTATATCGAGAGACACTGTGTGTATATAATGTATACAATTGGGGATCGCTCCAACAGGACGCAAATCTTTGATCAAACGATTAAAAATGTCGGAGTGGCAAATTTTGCATATAATTTGTTCTCAACTATAAAAAATCAAATGTTTATTTGAAAAATAGCTTTAAAGGTACATGTATTTTGTGGCTTGTATTACCAAGGTAGAAAATTAGAAAATTTAAGCAAAATTGCTCTTGATGAATTAAATATTAATAATTATTTTAAGAAGTGAATGTCCAGAATTGGAAGCTCATTATTGTTTAAAAACTGAAAACAGAATTTCAACCTATTTATAATTGCTGGAAGAATTCACTCAAAGTTATGAAAAAATATAATAATGTTTCAACCTTTTCAAAATCAAGTTGAACAAATAAATTATGAAATATATGCAACTTCTAGAACAATTTTTCAATAATAATAATAGTTAATAATAATAATCAATTTCAATATAATCTGGTATTTTGCAAAGATTTAAATGAATTTCAGTACTTTTGAAGAAAAGTTTATTTATCTTCAAAATATCAGAGCTATTATAAGAAATGACAAACAAAAAAAAAGCAAGTCTGTCAAGTAAAAAATGCAGTTGGAATAATTACTTTTATATAATTGAATATATTTTATTATTTATATTATATTTTATTATATTTTAATATATTCTTTTATATTTTTTATTATTTTTTATAGTTTATTAATTATTTAATTATAAAAAATAAAATTATAAATATATATAATCAAATTTATTTATAATTATATACAGTGGCAATCAAAAATAATGCAACGCTTAAATTTTTTACTAATTATAATTAGTAAAATACGTATTTT